GAGTAAGAAGGTAGCCTTTTATATATATGAAAAAAGGGAAATGGGAAATGTAAAGAGAGCCGTAAAAGACTGGAGAAATGATGCTGAATTTTGGAGATCATTTATAAATGCTCTATTTGTGTGCTTTCTATTTATAGCTGAAATCACAGGACACACCGGTAAGCACATTTTGCTATATATATATATATAGCAAATTATATATATGTATATAATTTCCCCTTATCGTTTGATCGAGAGATTCTCGTCCTTTAAAGTTTTGTCCTTTATCTTTTGATCTTGGGGGCATTTTGATTGCCACGAGCAAACCAGGCCAAAATCCCAGGAATGGCTACAGAAGGAGGGGAAAAAGGAGATTTCCTACATATGAAGGGTTTTTTGTAATCATAAACGTTTGCTAGGAACCATGGAAAGGCTTGTACAGTTAGGCCTCCACTTACAACAGTTTGCTTAGTGACCGTTCAAAGTGACAACGGCCCTGAAAAAAGTGAGCTATGACCATTTTTCATTCTCACAGCCATTGCAACATTAACCATGGTCACCTGATCAAAATTCAGACAGTTGGCAACTGACTCATGCTTATGACAGGGTTACACGATCTCCTTTTCCGACAAGCAGAGTTAATGGGGGAGGCAGATCTACTTAACAACGGTCTTACTAGTTTAAGAGCTGCCATGATTCATTTAACAACTGCGGCAAGAAAGGTCGTAAAATGGGGCAAAACTCCCTTAACAAATGTCTTGCTTAGCACCTAAGGTTGGCCTCCATTGTCATAAGTCGAGGACTATCTGTACCGTTTTTTAAATTTGAATTTCTACGGGAATTATATTGTCACCTCCCATTTGATATATTAAGCTTCTATCCCAGGGCAGTAGCTCTATTGAATTCTACTGTATAGTGCAGTATTGGTGCGATGACCCAGGGTGGGATACAAAATAAGCACAGTCACAAAAACAGGTGAAGCCCCTTTCATTCCTTCAGTTTGGCTTCAAAGCTCCACATATCCTTGACTGAGACAAAAAAACTCCCCCACAAACAGTTACGAAAAGGAGGAAACGCCGTTTAAACTAAAAATGTCTCTAAATTATAAAGAGCAAAAACAACACAAACCACACTGAAGCAGTTAAGGGAACCAGGCAAGATAAGGGCTTGAAGACGTCCACAGATATCGGAACACACACTGGGAAGGATGCCAAACTCAGAGAGGAATGGACAAGACTAGAGATATTTCCACGCTTTGTTTCCAGCACTGGCCCATACGCATGTCCGTCCTTTTAAACAGTCTTCACAGCTGTAGCCCATGAAGGGGATCAGGGCCCCTTCCTCCCCCATAGACCACGCCATTCCCGTTTCTCCCTTGTCCTCTCCTCCCTGCGTGCCCTAGGATGGAGAGGGGGCGGGCCTGGGTCCTCCTCTGACTGCCCAGCTGGCCTCTGCCCTTCCCCAGCCTCCTCCACCACCTCTGGAGCCACAACTCCACTCCCTGTCGGCTGTCAGACTCCATCAGAGGCATGACAGTTAGTATGTCAATTATTAAATACTATTAATTGTTAATTAGATATTATTAAATATTATTAATAATTATTAATAATTATTATTAATTGAAATAGTGTTTCAATTCAACGTGTGGAGTGTGAAAGGATGTGTGTTTGTGTTTATTTTTCATTGTCACGGTGTGCACTGAAGATGAGGTTTGATTTCGTTGTACGAGGTGCCGTGACAATAAAGTAAACCGAACTAAATTTCCTTTGTTCTTCAAATTTCAAGTAATAGGTTGGCAGAAACTACGGGAAAGAAAAGATGAGTTAACAATATCCTCAGCATACAAAGACAATTTGTATAAGCTGTTTTACAGTTGGCACTTTGCACCAGCAAAATTGGCAAAAATGTTTAAGGGTCAATCATCCAAATGCCGGAAGTGTCACCAGACACCTGGATCATATTACGATGGGTGATGTACAGAAGCCAAAAAGATACTGGATAAAAATCCACACATGGTTGGAAAAAAAATGATAAAGCAGCGGATAGATTTTAAACCTGAAATTTTTTTTTATTCGGAATGATACCTGAAGGTTATAGCCAAAAAAAGGCATATTTAATAATTCATGTGTTAACTGCAGCTAGGATGGTATTTGCTCAGAATTGGAAAAGTGATAAAATACCAGCAGAGGGAAAAGGTGATAGAGAAAATGTTTGAATGTGCAGAGATGAATAGATTAACACTGGCAATTAAAGAAAAAAAAAGTAACTGAATATTACATGGTATGGGATTTATTTTATCAATGGCTGAAAAATAAAACAAGTTAGCTGAGTAGAAGTAAGTTAAGATTGTTATAATCGTTATAAGGGATAAATGACCTGCAAAGAAAATGTGATTATTGTTAAATTGGTAAGAAAAGTATAAATTACAGTTGCTAGCACTAAATCAACGTACTGTATTATGAACAAAAGATGGAATTATTGTAAATACAAAAAATTAAAAAAAATGTCCCCAAGTAATAAGCCTCTAGGAGATACACAGACAGGTGAAAAACTAATTTAAGATATTCTAAATATTGGGAGTGCTGTGTTTTTCTTAATAGATAAATCTGCTTGAGTTAGATAAGCAACACAGATTTGCTGAGTGTGGCAACTGTTTAGGGTTAGTGAAAAACCACAAGGGGTTTCAAAGAATTTCCAGATAATATTTTCCGGCAGATAATCCTGTTCCATTGGGGGCGAGGAGGGGTGAGAAGTTTTAATTTCCTATCTGCTGCGGTTTTGAGATAGCGGTGATGACTTACTAGCTAGGAGAAAGATCTTAAGAATTGCTGCAGGCGGTTAACACAACGGATGTAACCCTTGCAAAAAAGACAGTGAAAATCTGGGCTAGAGGATCAGCCAGGAAAGGCATCTAAAAAACAGTGGCCAATATTTTAATTTTAAGGCAAGAGTGCGACCATTCGTTAAAAAAAGAAAGAAAGAAATTGAATGGATTGATACATTAACATCTGGTTTTCTGCCTTTCAAGTCAGTCACTAAACGAACTGCTATAAATCGAAGGGTACCTGTAAACGAATGAGCTGGTTTTACTCATGAGTTGCTTTTATTCATTTATTTTATTTGTCCACTGCTTACAAGATGATAGGCATAAGTATAAACATGAGTAAGAATACAGGAAACAGCTACGAATGAATGGGGACAATAGGACAGGGACGGTAGGAACGATGGTGCGCTTATGCACGCCCCTTACAGACCTCTTAGGAATAGGGTGAGGTCAATAGTGGATAGTTTGAGGTTAAAGATTTTGGGGTTTGAGGATGTAACTACAGAGTCAGGGAGCGCATTCCAGGCATTGAATGTGGTCACTCTGTGGCTGAAGTCGGACTTTCTGCAATCGAGTTTCAAATGGTTTATATTGAGTTTGTGTCTGTTGTGTGCTCTTGTATTGTTGCGGTTGAAGCTGAAGTAGTCATTGACGGATAGGACATTGTAGCGGATCATTTTGTATACTACGCTTAAGTCCAACCGCAGGCGACGTAGTTCAAGGTTGTCCAAAACCAAAATCTCAAGCCTGGTGGTGTAGGGTATTCTGTTGGGAGTAGAGGAGTGTAGTACTCTTCTCGTGAAATACTTGTGGACTCGCTCAATTGTTTTAATGTCCAATATACTGTGCGGATTCCAGACAGATGAGCTGTATTCGAGTATTGGTCTGGCAAAAGTTTTGCATGCTCTAGTTAGCAATTCGATATTTCCAGAGAAGAAGCTTCGTAAGTTTAGATTGACAACTCTTAATGCCTTTTTTGGCAATGCTGTTGCAGTGAGCTCTGGCGCTTAGGTCATTTGATATGAGTACTCCAAGGTCCTTGACAGAGTGAGGGTCGTCAAGGAGGTCATATTTTCACATGGGGCAAAAGTGGTCCCTGGGGTACGTGATAAAAATGAATGAAATTTTCCCAGTGGAGGAGAGGACCAGACTAAGCCTGATGAAAGAGTCAAAGGTGTCATCAGTCTTCAATCCTTTCATGCCCACAAGAGACCTAAATCCAGCCCAACTTGAATTCCATTGAAGGAATTCTTATCTACCGCCAGTTTGCTTTGGCCATTAGTAGTTCAGATTCTTGTAGAGAGCATAAACTTGCAGTAAACCTCTACGCCGTTAGTCCTCGTCTTACGACCACAATCGAGCCCAAAACTCAGGTGGCTAGGCAAGACATTTGTTCAGTGAGTTTTGCCCCATTTTACGACCTCTCTCTGGCCACCGTTGTAAAGAGAATCGTTGCAGTTTTTAAGTAACTTATTCTGTTGTTAAGTGAATCTGGCTTTCCCCTTGACTTTGCTCGTCAGACGGTCGCAAAAGGGGATCGCGTGACCCTCCCCCAGGACACACCAATGGTGGTAAGTACGAACCAGTTGCCAAGTGTCTGAATTTTTTATCCTGTGACCGTGGGGAAGCTGCAAAAGTTGTAAGGGGGAAAAGTGGTCACAAAGTGGGACACTGCAAGCATCATAAATATTGAACCTGTTGTGAAGCATCTGAATTTGGATCACGTCACGGTGGGGAGGCTACAACGGTCATGAGGTGTGAAAAATGGTCACAAGTCATTATTTTCCTATGCCGTTGTAACTTCGAATGGTCACTAAATGAATGTAAATAAGTTGTAAGTTGTATTCGTTTGAACTGCCTGGATTTCCTGATTTCTCACGCTCGGCACCCAGTCTGATGGAAGCAAATATGGAGACTTTGTTCTCCGTTGCTCATGGCAATGAGAAATGGCAGGAAGAACAAACAGGAACACGTTCTCCACATCTGCTTTTGAGGTTCTTCTGACTTCCAGATGTTCAGATGACGTCAAATTTGGGGATTTAAGACAGAAAATTTTGGAAAAAGACAGAAAAAGACAGCAACGAGAGATCTCGCTAAAAGAATCTCACCCTTCAGCTGTCATGTCCCTGTCAGAATCTGATTCGGAGGGGGAGGCGACCATCTGACAGGGAGTGGGAGTGTGGCTCCATTGGCTGTGGAAGAAACTGGGGAAAGGCAAAGTCCGGCTGGGCAGATCAGGGGAGAGGTAGAACAAGGGGGAGGGAGTTCAGAGGAAGACCCAGGCCCACCCCTCTTCATCCTAGGGCACGTAGGAAGGAACAGAGAAGGGAGCAATGTGGGTTGCATGGCTTACGGGGGAGGAAAGGGCCCAGATTCCCTTCATTAGCTGCACCTGGGAACACAGTGTTTCAAAGGAATCTGCGCATAGCAACTTGTTGGAAGCAAATTGTGAGTTATCTGTTATTGTCGAGGCTTATCTGGGTTCCTGGCATCTTCCCAACTGTGTGTGTTTTGCTGGCCTTTGAAGTCTGCAATTCCTTCTCCTGCCCTGTCAAGTTAATTACCACAGCGTGGTTTGTTTGGATTTTTAGTTATACTGTAGTTTGTGTGTACTTTGTTTTCGGACTGAATTTCCTCCACTTAAAGGCTGTTCCTGGGAGAGTTTTTCTCTAGCCAAAGGTAACCTGGACATTGGGGGCAAAATTGGAGGTATTAAAGGGACTTTTCTTACTTATGTGACTGTGTTGCCTTTGTGCCACGCCCCTTTGGGTCATCACATCAGCTCTACAAATAAGAGAAATGCTGAATAGCAGATTGCTGCTTTTCGGGGCTTCCATTCAAATTAATCCTGGTTTGATTAGCCACCATGGGAGATAAGGAAATTATTCTAACTTTTTTTTTCTTTTTGAATTTATTCAGGTGACCCAGATCCTCGACGAGGTAAGCTCTTAAACCACCACTTTGGCAAGTACATTGTAAATATTTTGTTAGAAGCTCCTATTTTTATCCTTACCTTGGTATACATGTAGCCCTCAACTTAACAACTGTAATTGAGCCCAGAATGTAGGTTGCTAACGGAGAAATTTGTGAAGTGAGTTTTGCCCGATTTTACGACCGTTTCTGCCACATTCGTTAAGTGAATCACTGCAGTTGTTAAATTAGTAACACGGTTGTTAAGTGAATTTGATTCTCCCTGGTTGTAAGTCACTTTTTACAGTGCCATTTTAACTTTGAATGGTCACTAAGTGAATTGTTGTAAGACAAGGACTACCTGGGTTATATTTGACTTAAACCACAAGAGTTTCATAACAGTTTGACCAAGGTTTTTAGTTTTTTGTTTTAGATTTGCTTTCCTGAGAGTAGAGGAGTGTAGAGAGTCATTTTATCAGCATCTTAAGTATTGAATCTTAACAACTGTATTCATTTTACAAATAATACAAGGTAGCAAACGTACTCAGGGCACTTTCCTCCTCCGATTTTCCTCACAACAACCACCCTGTGAGGTGGGCTGGGCCGAGTGGCCCAAAGACACCAAACTGGCTTTTAATGGCCTATGGTAGGACTAGAACTCACAGTCTCCTGGTGATTGGCCCAAAGACCCAGCTGGCTTTCATGCCTGAAGTGAATTCATGGCCTTCTACTTTCTAGCCTGGTGCCTTATTAACCGCCAGACCAAATTTGCTCTCTGTTGCTATGAATCACGGGCAGCAGAGCGTGTAGTTTTCAGAATGGCTTTACGGGTGGGAGTGAAAATTAGCTTTTTCCTTCAAATCACTTTAGAGTTTTTCGGTTCACCTCCCGACTTTCACCTACGTATTGGGGACCAAATGGAGAAACTTCGAAACGCTTTCCGTCTCCATTTGCAAAGCCAAAAACGATTGCCCCAAATCTCTTTTATCTTTTCTCTCTCTCTTGCAGATGAGACCCCCATCATCGCTGTAATGGTGGCCCTCTCCTCCTTGCTCATCATAGTATTTATTATTATTGTCCTCTACATGTTAAGGTGAGTGACCGTCTCCTCTTCACCTGCGTCTTTAGCACTCCTTCCCTTTAGGTCTGCAAGAGATGATTGAAAAACACACAAGAATCCATCTAAAATTTGCTTCTGGTTGCTCGGTATATTTTTTGACTTATTTCTTTTTCTCTCTCCTTTTTTTTTTTTTTTTTGAATATTTTATCCCATTTTATAATCAGATGTTGTTCCAATTTTCTAACATTATTTCTAATACAAACACAACAATACAGTCTTATGTACCTTTGCAGAATCTCTTTTTCAGTTATATTTTTACCCATTGTCGCTAAATAAGTCCTGTTTCTTTACATCTTGTTTCCAACCTTTGTAGCTTCTCTTCCCTTCCTTCCTCCCTTGCTTCTTCACTCTGCCCTTTTTACCCCCTTGTCTCTCCATCTCCATTTCCCTCTTCTGTATTCCTCTTTTCTGTTGCTTTCGGACATTATATCCACTTTTCACCTTATTTTTCCCTTTTTTGGTTGTTTTTTCGGGTCTTAAATTCTCCATTCTCTTTCCCCCCCCCTTTCCCCTTTCTTCCCCAGATAAAGTTACTTGTTCATTAAAGATGGCTTCTTCTTTGTCCCAATCTTCTTTTTACTTATTTCTTATGGGTAGGTCTAGTTGAAGGAAAAGAAGAACTAGGGGGGGACATGATAGCAGTGGGTGGGTGGTCCACCTATTCTGCAAAGACCCAGAAGGCAGGACAAGAAATAACGGATGGAAACTCCTCAAGGAGAGAAGCAACCTGCAACTAAAGAGAGACTCTTAACAGTGAGGACAATTAACCAGTGGAACCGCTTGCCACCAGAAGTTGTGGGTGCTGTGCTCTGTCACTGGAGGTCTTTAAGAAGAGCCATTTCTTTCAAAGGGTAGAAGACCGTGATGGCGAACCTATGGCACACATGCCACAGGTGGCACGCAGAGCCATTTGTGCCGGCACGCGAGCGGCAGGCAAGCTTACCTCACTGCGCATGCGCGTGCCTCACAGCTGATTTTGGGGTGGTTTGAGGCCTTTTTCGGCCTCCCAGAGGCTTGAGGAAGGCTTCTGCAGGCTTTGCAGGCCGAAAACTAGGCCCGTTTCATCACTTCGTGTTTTTCCAAAAATACCGGAAGTGACAAAATGGGCCTAGTTCTGAACAGAGCTGAGTGTTTACTGGCCGGGTGCCCTTCCTGTCACCAACGCGGGGTTACGTTCAGCAGATATATTGTCAGTGTGCCCAGAGAGCTCGGAGCAGCTTCCCTCCTGCGACGATATTTGTAACGGCGTCGAACATCCACATCTGCCGACCTCAGTTTCCTTGGGAAGGACTCCAGAGGTGGCTGACGATGCTGGATCCAGCCTAAACATCTGCCTAACGCATCCTTTTTTCCCTAAGTGCAATTGCAAAAGGACAGCTTTGCTTGGAAAACCTTACATACCACCAAACATCAAACCATCTGCTTATCCCACGTCCTCGGGAGGGACTCCAGAGGTAGACACCCCCCCAAAAGTCAAGTCCAGTTTGAACATCTGGCTGTCTGTCGACGAATTGTAATAACAACAATTTGGGGGTTTTTCCCCTACAAACAAGCCTTTGCTTGTCTGTGTGATTCTTTTAGAGTGGATAGATTTAGGTTTCAAGGGAGCTCAAAGAAATGCAGAAAAGGTTCCTAAGGGGATGAAGCCTTAACCGCTCTCCCTCCCGCATTCTTCAACTCCAGAAATAATATTGAAAGTCGCCAGGGACGAAGCTCATCCCACAGGTACAAAGCAACAGCGCAGGAAAAGAGGTGTGTGGCGGGAGGGGAAGGAAGAGATGAAAACAACTTGCAAATTGCACAAGAATCCGGGAGTCAAAAGGCTCCCACTCGAACCAGGAAACGGGATCGAGTCCTCGCTTGCGAGAAACAGGTTTAAATGGATGATTTGCTGTCATCTGAAATTATCCACGCACCGAAAGATGGATTTTTTTTTTTAAAAAAAAATTGGCTGCAGAACAACAACACCCAGTGAAAGGAAGGGTGGAGACTGGATTTTGTGTGTGTGTCTGTGTGTGTGTGTGTAAAATCAGCACGGGGAGGTTTGATTTGAGGCCTCGTTTGTTTGAGAAACCAAACCTACCACCCAGGGACCCATTTCCTCCACGTGTTGTTAAATGTGACCACAGCTGTGGCGTGATCTTGCCAATGTGCGCCCTAATGCGCACAAAAAAACAAACAAACCCGCATCTCCTTGCACACTCCTTGTAACTTTTGCAAAACCCAAAACTACAGGGAACGACCACAACAGAATTCCTGTTGCGTTGAGCGAGACGTTGTGTTCAGTGAGTTTTGCCCCCATCTTATGACTTCCCTTGCCACGGTTCTTAAGTGAATCACCACGGTGGATACCTTAGTAATCCGGTTTGTTAACCTGGCTTTTCCCTGTTGATTGAGGTCGCAAAAAAGGATCGTGCGATTCTTTCCCCTCCTCCCCGCCCCCTGGGACGCCGCAACCCGTCATAAATATGAACCAGTTGCCAAACAGCCTAATTTTGATCATGAGGGTGCTGCAAAGGTCGTAACCATGGGGAAAAAAACAGCCATAAGTTACATTTTTCAGTGCTGTTGTAACTTTGGGCAGTCATTAAACGAGCTGTACCAGGAACAGTCATTAAACTGAAAACAACAGTCAATTAAAAGGAGTGTGATGACCCAAAGGGGTGTGGCACCAAGGCAACCCAGTCAGATAATCAGTAGGAGTCCCTTTATTAGCTCCAACTTTGCCCCCAATGTCCAGGTTACCTTCTGGGTTGGAGAAAAACTCTCCCAGGAACAGCCTTGGGCTGCAGAGAATCAAGTCCAAAATGTGGTCAACAGAAACTGTAACTATAAGTCCAATCAAGGCAAAGTGAGGTCATTAGTCTGGCAGGGCAAGAGAAGGAATTTCAGGCGTGAAGGCATGGCAGTAATTCAGCCCGGTTGGGAAGACGCCAGGAACGCAGATAACCAGAGTCAACACAAGATAAACTCATGTTCCCAGTAAATGCAGCTCTCAGTTTGCATCTCTTTTAAACTCTCACTCCCAGATGTAGCTGATGAAGGGAATCGGGGCCCTTTCCTCCCCCATAAGCCATGCAACCCACCTTGCTCCCTTCTCCGTTCCTCCCTGCGTGCCCTAGGATGAAGAGGGGGTGGGCCTGGGTCTTCCTCTGAATTCCCTCTCCCCTTGTTCTTTCTCTCCCCTGCTCTGCCCAGCCGGACTTTGCCCTTCCCCGGTTTCCTCCACAGCCAACTGAGCCACACTCCCGCTCCCTGTCCGCTGTTTGTCTTACTCCTCGGATTCAGACTCTGACAGGGGCATAACAAGGAGGACTGCGTGTACTTTTAAATTATTGTATTGTCCTCGATCCGTTGCAACATTGTTTGAGGAGCAGAAACCCTGGGGTTTTTTTGAATAACCGTTGGACTTGGAAATTGTGCCGTTACAAAAGTTGCACAAATTCACGGGGTTCATGAATATTTAAAGATATGCCAGTTCCTGCATTTGGATAAAACGCAATTATGCGTGGTCACGCTTCGCCGAGAATCTCTCTCTTTGAAGACCAGCTTATCAGGAAATTATTGAGTCTGACTCTTTAAAATATTCAGGAAGTTGCCTTGTTTTATTCAGATAAATGTAATTTCTCTCTGTCCCTTTGCAACTGTTCTTTGGATGTAGGTTTGTTGTAATGCCAAGCGTTGCCTCGTGGTGTTGGTATGTATGTGTGCAGAATCCAATTGCTGCAGCACATTACTTTTTTGAATCCAATATTTTTATTACATTTTGCAAAGCGTACACCTTAAAAGAACAACAAAAGCTAACTGCGATGACCCGGGGTGTGACACAAAAATAACAAAATCACAAAAGTAGAATAAATTCCCTTTAATGCCTCCAACTTGGCCCCCAATGTTCAATTATCCTTGGCTGGAGATCAAGCTCTTCCAAAAACAGTCCACGAAGGAAAGAAACGCTGTCCGAACCCAAAGTAAAAATAATTAGAAATTAAAAAAAAACCAACACAAACCACACTGAAGTCATTAACACGACCGGGCCAGGATGATAAATTGCAGACTTCCACAAGATAGCGCAGCAACCGCAGTTAGGAGGACGCCAAAACCCAGATAAGCCTGGACCAAGATAATGCACACTTTGCTTCCAGCAAGGAGCTGTGTGTAAATGCCCCACTTATATCCTGTTCTCCCAGCTGCAGATAATGAAGGGAATTAGGGCCTTTTCCTCTCCCAAAAGCCATGTTGCTCCCTTCTCCGTTCCTCCCTGCGTGCCCTAGGATGAAGAGGGGGTGGCCCTGGGTCTTCCGCGTGCCCTTCCCCAGTTTCCTCCACAGCCACCAGAGCCCCACTCCCACTCCCTGTCAGCTGCTCAACCTCCCCCTCAGAATCAGACTCCAACAAGGGCACAACACTCACAGAGAAAAGGTCAAGAGTAAAAAGAGAATAGGGATAGAAGTACAAAAAGGTAATAAAGAAAGGAAACACACACACATATGTATATAGGTAGGTAGTCCTTGACTTATAATAGTTTATTTAGTGACTGTTCAAAGTTGCAACGGTGCTGAAAAAAAGAGTGTCTTACAACCATTTCTCCCACTTAACGACCGTTGCAGCATCCCCTTGGTCACATGATCAAAATTCCCATGCTGGGCACCTGACTCATATTTATGATGGTTGCAACCTCCCGGGGTCATGCGACTACTGTTTCTGACCTTCGGACAAGCAGAGTCAGAACGGGGGAAGCCAGATTCACTACTGCTGTGATTCATTTTACAGCTGTGGCAGGAAAGGTTGCAAAATGGGTCAAAACTCGCTTAACAAATGTCTGATTTAGCAACAGAGATTTTGGGTTCAATTGTGGTCATAAGATGAGGACAAACTCTGTGTGTGTGTGTATACATATGCATATATGTGGTGGGGGGGAGAGGTATGGTTTGCCTAGAGGTAGAGCTCTCACCTCACAATCAGGAGGCCGTGAGTTCTATCCTAGCTAGAGGCAGATATTTCTCTCTCTGGGCACAATGAGAATATAGCTGCTGAACTAAACTCCTCATAGGCAACAGGAAAGGCATCTGGCCAGTAAACACTCTGCTAGCGCCATTCAGTTGCTCAGACGCCACCCCGCAAGGAATTATGGGGTCGTTAAAAGAGGATGATAAGCATTTGATAATAATTGGAATGCGTGGTATAATTGGTTATATCAGAGATAAACTGTTCAATGAATAATGGGTAATTTAAGCATAAATAGTGATAAGATGTGTATATTTAAAGTAAGGTAGGAGAATTGGATCTTGCAGACTGTCAAAGAGGATATCTGTCTGGTTTTAATGTATTTTCTTTTTTCTTCTGTCTCGTTTTTTTTCTTTCTTTTATACTTCTTTTTCTCCTTTTTCGGTCGCAAGACCGAGCGTTTTGTTTTTTTTCTCTTTCCCTTCTTTCTTTCTTCTTTTTCTCTCTCTGTTGCATATGCAATGTTGTTATGTTTTTTTTAAATTGTAAATTCAATAAAATTTATTAAAAAAAAAGAAAAAGAGGATGAACGATTTCCAACTCCTCCTTTCAAGGATATAAAGAACACTTCCGTTCAACTCTTAATTTAAGGCTGTTAGGTGGGTTCTGCTCTGTTTTATGACCTTCCTTGCCACCGTTGCTAAGTGAATCATGGCAGTTAGTCACCTGGTTGTTAAGTGAATCTGGATTCCCCATTTGCCTTTGTCCGTCACAAGGTTCCCAAAGGGGATCACGTGACCCCAGGAACACTGCGACCGTCATAAATATGAGTCGGTTGCCAAGCCTCTGAATTTTGGTCACATGACTGTAGAACTGCAGTAACGGTTGTAAGTGTGAAAAACCATTATAAGTCCCATTTTCTCAGGGCTGCTCTTGGACAGCCATTTGTCTGAAATGGTACAGGGTTTCTGGCTTGAGCAGAGGGTTGGACTAGACCACCTCCAAGGTCCCTTCCAACTCGGTTTAAATTCTGTAAACGTTGAACGCTCACTAAACCAATGGTTGTAAGTCAAAGACTACCTTTGTTATATTTTGTCGGGATGTCAAGTTGTCTAGCTATTCTTCCTGCAGAAAATAAGGCTGTTTGGGAGGAACTCTGCTGATTTCATTATTATTATTATTATTATTATTATTATTATTATTATTATTATTAT